GTTGCTGTTGACATACTTTCATTGTTTTAGCCTTCTTAGGGTAATGGTGAATTGAATAACTTACTGTTGACATACTTTCCTTGTTTTAGCCTTCTTAGGGTAATGGTGAATTGAATAAGTTACTGTTGACATACTTTCGTTGTTTTAGCCTTGTTAGGGTAATGGTGAATTGAATAAGTTACTGTTGACATACTTTCGTTGTTTTAGCCTTGTTAGGGTAATGGTGAATTGAATAAGTTACTGTTGACATACTTTCATTGTTTTAGCCTTGTTAGGGTAATGGTGAATTGAATAACTTACTGTTGACATACTTTCCTTGTTTTAGCCTTGTTGGTATCGTGATATTTTAAAAAATATATATTAGTTATTTGACAACAAGAAAAATTAAACACAGCAAATTATGGTGTTTAAAGGAACTATCATTGTATAACTGATTGCAGAATACATTTATCAAGTTTATTAGCCAAATCTTACACCCAAAAGTGGTGACATTAAAAAACCCATTACACATTAATGCTCTTTTTAACTTTTTAACGAGAAATAACGTATAATAAAATAAATTATGAAATGTATATCACGTTAGAAACAACAATTTTAATATAATGTATGTCATATGAAGAACAAGTATTATGTGATACTAATCCATATGAGCAAGTATAACACAAAACTACCCAATAACTTAATACTATCATCGTCACAATCACAGAAACAAATCCCTAATTTCAATTATATATATTTCTTTCATGTATATGTGCATTTTCGTAAATTTTGTCTTCCCATTCGACCATAATCCCATCTAGTTTGTGTTCGGCCGGTATTTTTGTAAGCCAAGAAATATTACACTGGTGGCTGGGCCAGTCACCAACCATACAGACGAGCGTGTTAGGAGTCGAACGCCCTCACCAGCAAGACATGCCAGGCCATGCTTTTATAGATAACATATAAAAATCTACCTGTTGAGCATGTACCAGTTTTCTTTCTTCTGAGACGAGGAGTTGGCAGGGGTATAGTTGTGTAGTTCTACCAATCGTGGGAAAAAGTGTTGAATCACTTCGGCAACCAATACTTAATAAAATAAGAGTAAAATTTACACTGAGTGTAAATATAGAAAGAGGCAAAAGTAAAATATAACTCGAAAACGTAATCATCAAATTATGTAACAAAGACACAACTGTCTCGTTATAATATCACATGAGTAATACCATAATTTAAAAAAACTAAATTACTACGGTTAAAACAAAAGAAATTTATTACAACGCCGAGCAAACTTTCTTGGGTATTAGGTATTTCCTTTTGTTCTGATGACGAGTTTGCGTTCGATCGAGACATTATAACATGTGTATCTTTAACCAGTTTTTAAATTTTTTTTCCACTTTTTTCATACAAACCAACAGTATTTTATGGTAACAGATGTGATAGCTAACTACAGAAAGATGAATAGTAATAATAACTTAAATACATAGCTCTCAACTAGCCCATTACGGGTTTGGAACCTGGTTAAATTTTAACCAAAAATGTAATGAAATTACACGATTCCTTTCTTCCCGTACGACATCATTAATTTCCTATTTTCAACACCTTTATTTTATCCATATTTTCTTTTATTAGGACAGGAGCAGCGAATTAAGTTGGTACAATTATGTTCTTATGTTATTATTTTGTGTATTTACTTGTTATATTTTAGCCATTGAAGATTCCTAGTCTAGTATTTTTTGACCGGTCTCTGGGATAATGATATGTATTAATGATATATTGAAATAAACTGCGAGAAGTTTATAGTTTTAAACAAAAAGTCCATGTATGTAGTTTTGATGAAGTCATTAAACGAAATCTTAGGATTCCTCCCACCTCGAGATGGCGCTGCGCTCTCTAACTATTACATAATCGCGTCATAGAAGATACTTTAGCTCAATAAGGTTAATTTTTTTCTTAAAGGCAAGAGATAATAAATAGAAGGCAGTGCCTACAGCAAGGAAAAACGTATCCACATAAAATAATTCAATGGTGGGACAAAGTGTCAAAAGAAGTTCGGAAATTATACCAGACTAACAGATCATCCAGGGTTTGAAAGCGTCATTAATACTGTACAAGGAAAAAATGTGAAACACTAAACATTGTTATAAACACAGGGTGTTGACAAATAAGTATCATGAAGGTAACTTGCAAGAATTTTCTGGCATTATCAAATGACTTATCAATGATTGTATCATTCAGAATGGCTGCTCTAGAAGAAAATATTAACCTATTCATTAAATTAGTCATTGCAACCATTTGTCCAGATATTGGAATGGTAGATCCATGCAGAACAAAAAACAAAAACATCCTTATAAATCATTGACATACAAGTTCAACATCTGAGAGCTATCCTATATTTGAAGTCACAAGTCAAACAGTCACAGAAAAGTTAATAAAAGTTGTGTCAAACCATACGAGTTTGGCAAGCCGCATAACTAAAGAAAGCCTTTTTTAGGAATTGGTGGCTCACAGGACACAGTCTTGTAGCAGACGTATTCTTGGGAGATGCCAAGATAAATGTGTCCAGTTTATCCGTATTGATGGTAACCACTGGAGACTCTTATGTAACATAGGCTGTGCAGGTGAGTCAACTGTGTAAATCTTTGATTCCTTGCGGAAAAACACATCAACTCAAAGATCTGATATTACTGCCAGACACTATCAAATGCAGGCAAAACAGCTGGCCATGAAAGTGAACAATGTGGAGTGACAAAAGAATAGGAATGATTGTGCCATATATGCCATCGTATTTTTCTAGCACTTTTGCATGGGCAGGGCCCGTAATAGGTTATATCTTTATGGAATTGAGATGTCTTCACAGTGTCTTGAGTTGGGGCACTTGTCACCTTTTCCAACAGAAGTGAGATACTGTAGTGCACGCGCATTTATGACGATCACTGAAAAGGTGTGTTGTTTTTGTATAGGAAATGTAAATGCAAGCTGATGTTGCCATGTGATGGTAGGGACTAAGAATTTTACAGAAGTGTCAAGACGTGAACAACGAACCAGAAGAAGATTGGAAATACACAAATGGTTATATATGGCGAAACTGATAGACTTCTAATGAAGTTGGTTTGTTGGGAATTTCGCGCAAACCTACACGAGGGCTGTCTGCGCTAATTTAGCACTGATAGACTAGAGGGAAGGCAGCTAGCCAACACCACCCACCGCCAACTCTTGGGCTACTCTTTTACTAACGATTAGTGGGAATGACCGTCACATTATAAAGCCTCCTCGGTTGAAAAGACGAGCATGTTCGGTGGGACGGGGATTCGAACCCGTGACCCGCAGATTGCGAGTCAATTATCCTAACCACCAGGCCATACCATGCCATTTTTGAGGAGAAATGAATGACAACTGTATGTAATATACAAAAAATATATCACTAAATGCATATGTATGTATGTACATACAACAGAGAGTGGTAAATTATTGTATGGGTGAGAAATGGGTATTTCTGCTAGTATTTAGTTATCTCATGAGGAGTCCCACTCTTGTGAAAAACAATGACAGATATTTCCAAATGTAACCATGTGTTGTCGTAATTAAAAAGTTTCCATGGAATACAATGAATGTTGTTTTTCTCATTCTGTTACAAAAGCCATTCGAATTTAATATGTTAAACAATTATATGATAATAAAAAATAAATGGTGTAATAAATGTAAAAACAACAACAACAAACAATAATATTACTCTCTCCCTGTTTTGTTTAATAAGAATAAAACTAATACATAATTTATTGCGATCTCATAATTGGTCAGCTAAATCTTCTGATGGGATGCACGACCTTAAGATAACCAAACAGAGAGCAATGTTGTTGTAATCGACTCAATACTTAAAGTTAAAAAGCAGTCACGACCACATCATTTGGAGGGATGGTATAATAACAGGATGCGAATTATTGATTCAACTATGAAAAAGAGCAACAGATTTAGCAATATTGAAGATAGGCAGGCCCGGCATGGCCAGCTTGTTAAGGCACTCTATTCGCAGTCTGCGGGTCGCGGGTTCGAATCTCCGTCCCACAAAAAATGCTCGTCCTTTCAGTCGAGGGGGCGTTATAATCTGACGGTCAATCTCACTATTCGTTGGTAAAAGAGTAGTCCAAGAATTGGAAATGGGTGGTGATGACCAGCTGCCTTCCGACTAGTCTTTCACTACTAAATTAGGAACGGCTAGCGCAGATAGCCCTCGTGTAGTATTGCCCGAACTTCCAAACAAACCAAACTTGAAGATAGGCATACTAGCAGTACTTTGTAATTGCGTGTACGAGATGTCTGCGTGATTAGATAATCGTTAAAAAGAGCAGCGCCATTTCGATAAGGCCCGAATTCCTTGATTACTCATAACGACGATATTTCTCTTCTTGTTATAACTTGAGGAACTGTTTCTAGTCCGTCACTGTAAATCACCAGTGGTTCTAGCATTGCGACGATGGACATTACTAACCAAACTCTGTATAACCATACAGTGGGGGAGATCTTAGTAGATTTAGAGCGTGTGATTTAACATCTCACTAAGACTGCATATGTGGTAAGTATAGAAACGTATATAATTTTTTAACAATGTTACTTTATTTGTAAATTCCTTTCTTTCACCAAAAACGTAAATTTCTATGAAGAAAATATGAAGTAGAGACCAAATGTATTCTATGACTCACTTCTCTCGCTGCAGCAGACTAGTTTCGCCGAATTCACAGCTCAGAAATACTACTTGGAAGAGTAAAACAAATGAATAAAGCAGGCATCATATAGTGGTAGAAAGTAACTAATTTATGAGCCGTAAGTTCGGCGAAACTAGTCCGCTGCAGCGGGAGTAACGAATTAAAAATACTTCGACCTCATCTAAAATTTACGTTTTGTTGACGAAAAGATGTTAACCAGTTAGGTCCCTGAATAATAATGGATAATTAATTGTGACGGTATGTTATTTGGTGTACAAACAGCTAAAGTACTTTACGTTATTAGTGGAGAGTAAAGAACGATATATCTAAACCAAACAAATTTTATTGTGATGTTATACCACACAAACTACTGTTCAAAAAATAATGCTTTGCAAATCTATGTGTAAATCAAAATAAGAATGCATGTATTATGAATGGTTAAATACAATTTCTATTGAGGCTTTGTGTTTTTTTTTTAATTTCAAATCGGGCGACTTGATGAGCTTTGGTAAAGCGAAATAACTCATAACCAATAATGTACGGCTGAAATGTTATTATATTGTTGCGTCAGCGAGGTCACGTGACTAGTATCACGCCACGTCCTTCTCGAACCTTC